GAGCGGGGGGTGTGGGGGAGGGAGGGAAGGGGAAGATTAAAAAAAAAAATTATTATTTTTTTTGCCGGGAGGGGTTCGTGCAGGTGCCGGGCCGCGGCTGCGCTCTGCATCCCGCGGGCGCGATCGGGCGCCGGGAGAGGGCGCGATGGCCCCACGGTAGCGGCGGCCGTGGGAAAGCGGGGCCGCCCCCAGCGCTGGGGAGCCGCACCGGGGGATGGATGGGGCGGGGGATGTGGGGGTCCTCCCGCCCGGCGATCCGCGTTCCGGCCCGGGCTTCTGCGCTAAGAAATAATACAAATACTTCTAAGTCCCCTTGGTGTGTGGGGGGTGAAAAAAAATAAGAAATAAATAAGAAATAAATAAGAAATACATGAGAAATAGGAATAATATTTATACATATATTAGCAGGGTATCCTGCTTATATATATATTATAGCGGTCCTGCGGGGCCGGGCAGACGCGAATGCGGAGCGCTCCGTCGGGTCCCGGCTCCGCGCACCTCTGGGGATTGGCAGCGGGGAAAGGGTGACCCCGGGGTGGGGAAGGAGCCGCTGGGTGGGGGGCTGCGTAGCGAGCGGGAGGAGGTGCAGAGCCCCCGGGGGTCACCTTGCAGCCGCCACCCCCCCCCCCCCGCGCAGCCTCCTCCTCCCGTTTAATCCTTCGGGATAACGAAACAGCGACACGGGCGGGGGTGCGCGAGCCACGGACGCTCCTTTGTGCCGGTAGCCGGCAACCGCCCTGCCCGCAGCCGCGTTACGGGGGGACACGGAGGGTGAACCTCCCACCTCCCCTGCTGCCGTCGGGGGGCAGCGAGCGGAGGGGGAGCGGCGAGCGAGGAGGGAGGGAGGAAGGAAGCAGCGAGGAGCGCCCTTTTCATCCCCTCTCTTTTTTTTTTTTTACTATGTTTACTTCCGACCTCTCCTTGTAGTAAGAGAAAAAAAAAAACAACCGCTGCTCCGCATCGCCTCTCTCCGGCTCCTCTCCCTCCCTCCCTCCCGCCCGCCCAGCTCCGGCTCGCAGTGCCCGGGGGGGCCACGGAGCCCCGCGGCCGCCCCCTCGCGGCGCGCCCTCCCCGCGCACGGAGCCCGCGCGGAGAGGAGGCGGCGACGCGCATGGCGGGAGCGCGCACTCGCGGGGCCCCGCCGTGCCGCTCGTGCTCCCGCCCCCGCTGCATCTCCCGCCCGCCCCTCGCCGGCGCTTTAAAGGAGGAAAGCAACTTAACTTCTATTGTACCGGACGGAGCGCGCCGCGCCGCCTTGGACCGTACAATCTACCGCACGCCGGGAAGGCGAGCCCTCTCTCCGCTGTATTTTTTTTCTCATCGTGGTGGGAGGAAGAGATCTACGTTCTCCCTGCGTTTTGGCTTCTTTTTTTCCCCTTCGTCTTCTCCGGAGGTTCTTTTTGTATTTTTATCTCCAATTTCTTGATTTTGTTGTTCCCCGCACTACCCGCAATTATTGCCTCGCTCCGTCTCGCAGCCGGCGCGTTGGAGGAGCCGGTGAGTCGCGGGGCTCCGCTTTACCCATCACTCGATCCGCCGCGGTCGGGCTGACAGCGCGGGGCCGCGGGACCGCCGGTGCCTCCCGGGGGACGCGGCGCTGCGCCGGGGCACGGCGCACCCCATCCTTCTCCGTGCGCTCGGCTTGGATATAATTTTATTTTTGGGGGGGATGGGGGAGGGCAAGAAGCATTTGCTTCTCCAGCGTACGCACGGCAGGTTATGCTTATTGCACATATATACGTATATATGTGTGTGTGTGTGCGTGTGTGGATATATATGTATATATGATACATTTGGCAAAGTTTGCCCAGCTCCGTGCACGGCCAGGTGGGTGGCTGGGGAGCAGCCCGGCTCTGCGCCGTGAGCTACCGTCCTTTCCCGCCCGGTTCCCGGTGCCGGAGCTGCGCACCGGGGGAGCGCGGCGGCTGCGGGAGCCGTGCCCGAGCGGAGCCTCTCCGGAGAGCCGCGGGGAGAGTGCTCCGGGCGTCCCCGGGAGCTGACCCCTCGGTGGACGGGGTCGCGACTCCCGGTCGCCCCGCTGAGCTGGGGAGGGTGTAAGGGGGGTGGGGGGGGCGCACGAGGGGTCGTGTATTTTGTTATTATTTTATTATTATTTTATTATTATCGCTTTATATGCATATATATATATATGCATATATACATATATATATATATATATATATATATATATATATTATATATATATAAAAGTCAATCCGACGGCGCGGGGTGCCGGGAGGGAGCGCTGCGCACCGGTGGCGATCCCCCCCGCTATAGGGGCCGGGGGGACCGGAGCCTCGCGGCCCCGAGCGCGGCTCACCCGGCCCCCCCGTGTCCCCCTCCCGCCCG